AATCCCCCCCAAAATCCCCAAAAAATCCCAAAAATTCCCCCCAAAATCCCCCCAAAATCCCCAAAAAACCCAAAAAAATCCCTAAAAAATCCCCAAAAAATCCCATTTTAACCCCACAAAATCCCATAAAAAATCCCAAAAAATCCCATAAAAAATCCCCCCAAAATCCCCCAAAAATCCCCAAAAAACCCAAAAAAATCCCTAAAAAATCCCCAAAAAATCCCTCAAAAATCCCCCAAAAAATCCAAAAAAATCCCAAAAAAATCCCCCAAAAAATCCCCAAAAAATCCCAAAAAAATCCCCCAAAAATCCCCAAAAAATCCCCAAAAAATCCCAAAAAATCCCAAAAAAATCCCCAAAAAAATCCCAAAAAATCCCAAAAAAACCACCCAAAAATCCTTAAAAAAATCCAAAAAATCCCAAAAAATCCCAAAAATTCCCCAAAAATTCCCCAAAAAATCCAAAAAAATCCCAAAAAAATCCCCCAAAAATCCCCCAAAAATCCCAAAAAATCCCAAACAATCCCCAAAATTCCCCAAAATCTTCCCGAGCCTCCGGCATTCCCGTTTTTCCCCAAATGCCGGGATTTTGGGCGCAGAGCATGAGCGACTTCGATTACCTGAAGCTGCTGGGGAAGGGAACGTTCGGGAAGGTGATCCTGGTGCGGGAGAAATGCTCGGGCCGTTATTACGCCATGAAAATCCCAAAAAAATCCCAAAAAAACCCAAAAAATCCAAATAAACTCCCAAAAAATTCCTCAAAAAATCCCAAAAAAATCCCCCCAAAATCCTTAAAAAAATCAAAAAAAAATCCCAAAAAATTCCCAAAAAATCCCCAAAAAATCCCCCAAAAATCCCCAAAAAATCCCCAAAAAACTACCCAAAAATCCTTAAAAAAATCCAAAAAATCCCCCAAAAAATCCCAAAAAAATCCAAAAAAAATCCAAAAAAATCCCAAAAAAATCCCAAAAAATTCCCCAAAAAATCCCCAAAAAATCCCAAAAAATCCCAAAAAAATCCCCAAAAAAATCCCAAAAAATCCCAAAAAAACCACCCAAAAATCCTTAAAAAAATCCAAAAAATCCCCAAAAAAATCCAAAAAAACCCCCAAAAAATCCCAAAAAAATCCCAAAAAATTCCCCAAAAATCCCCAAAAAATCCCAAAAAATCCCAAAAAAATCACCCAAAATCCTTAAAAAAATCCCAAAAAAATCCCAAAAAATCCCAAAAATTCCCCAAAAAATCCCCAAAAAATCCAAAAAATTCCCCAAAAATCCCCAAAAAATCACCCAAAAATCCTTAAAAAAATCCAAAAAATCCCAAAAAAATCCCCAAAAAATCCCAAAAAAATCCCAAAAAATCCCAAAAATTCCCCAAAAATTCCCCAAAAAATCCAAAAAAATCCCAAAAAAATCCCCCAAAAATCCCCCAAAAATCCCAAAAAATCCCAAACAATCCCCAAAATTCCCCAAAATCTTCCCGAGCCTCCGGCATTCCCGTTTTTCCCCAAATGCCGGGATTTTGGGCGCAGAGCATGAGCGACTTCGATTACCTGAAGCTGCTGGGGAAGGGAACGTTCGGGAAGGTGATCCTGGTGCGGGAGAAATGCTCGGGCCGTTATTACGCCATGAAAATCCCAAAAAAATCCCAAAAAAACCCAAAAAATCCAAATAAACTCCCAAAAAATTCCTCAAAAAATCCCAAAAAAATCCCCCCAAAATCCTTAAAAAAATCAAAAAAAAATCCCAAAAAATTCCCAAAAAATCCCCAAAAAATCCCCCAAAAATCCCCAAAAAATCCCCAAAAAACTACCCAAAAATCCTTAAAAAAATCCAAAAAATCCCCCAAAAAATCCCAAAAAAATCCAAAAAAAATCCAAAAAAATCCCAAAAAAATCCCAAAAAATTCCCCAAAAAATCCCCAAAAATCCCAAAAAATCCCAAAAAAATCCCCAAAAAAATCCCAAAAAATCCCAAAAAAATCACCCAAAAATCCTTAAAAAAATCCAAAAAAATCCTAAAAAAATCCAAAAAAATCCCCAAAAAATCCCCCAAATTCCCCAAATCTTCCCGAGCCTCCGGCATTCCCGATTTTCCCCAAATGCCGGGATTTTGGGCGCAGAGCATGAGCGACTTCGATTACCTGAAGCTGCTGGGGAAGGGAACGTTCGGGAAGGTGATCCTGGTGCGGGAGAAATGCTCGGGCCGTTATTACGCCATGAAAATCCTCAGGAAGGAAATCGTCATCGCCAAGGCACGGGAAAACGAAAAAATGGGAATTTTGGGGGAAAAATGGGAATTTTGGGGGTGAAAATGGGAATTTGGGGTGGAAAAATGGGGATTTTAAGGGGGAAAATGGGAGTTTTGGGAGGAAAAATGGGAATTTTGGGGAGAAAATGGGAATTTTGGGGGGAAAAATGGGGATTTTAAGGGGGGTTTTGGG